CGAACCCGCCACCTTAGGTGTATGTGGCTGGCGCCTTAGCCGCTTGAGCCACAGGCGCCGAGCCATGGAAATTCTTTTATTAGTAATAAAAAGTATCTATAAAGAAAAAACTTTAAGCAGAAACAAACCTTCCCTTTACTCTGAAAATCTAAGTAGACTGAGAACTAATTAATTTTTGTAGTTTTGTATCTGAGCACTTGGAATAAAGTTCTCCCTGCATCTAGGAAGACTTCTCATTTTTCCTGGGCCCCAGTATTTGATGGTACTTTCCCCTCCCTTATCACCTATAGTCTGTTTTGTACTTTAAAAGAAAAAAAAAAAAAACTAGCTAAGTCTATTAATACCTTGAGGTTTAACTGAAGTCTCTTAGGTCATTACCTTCCTTCCTTTCTGTCATCCCTTTCTCTTTTTTTCTCTTCTTTTTTTTCTTTCAACAGAGTCTCACCCTGTTGCCCAGGGTAGAGTGTAGTGGTTTTAGCTCAGCTTACATAAACCTCAAACTCCTGGGTTCAAGCTATCCTCCTGCCTTGGCCTCCTGAGTAGCTGGGACTATAGGTACCTGCCACAACACCTGGCTAAATTTTTTTTTTTTTTTGAGGGACAGAGTCTCACTGTGTTGCCCTCAGTAGAGTGCTGTCGTGTCACAGCTCACAGCAACCTCAAACTCCTGGGCTTAAGGGATTCTCTTGCCTCAGCCTCCAGAGTAGCTGGGACTACAGGTGCCTGCCACAACCCCCAGCTATTTTTTTATTGCAGTTTGGCTAGGGCTGGGTTTGAACCTGCCACCCTCTGCCACTCTTGGTATATGGGGCTGGTGCCCTACCCACTGAGCCACAGGTGCCGCCCACCCGGCAATATTTTGGTTGCAGTTGTCATTGTTTTTAGCAGGCCCTGGGCCAGGCTCAAACCCACCACCTTCAGTGTATGTGGGCGGCACTCTACTCACTGAGCTACAGGCTCCAAGCTGTAAATTTTTTCGTTTCTAGTACAGATGGGGTCTCCCTCTCACTTAGTTTTTCTGATTAGGATTCCTGTGGCTCTGAGTGTTTAGCCCGCCCCTTAAACTCCTAAGCTCAAGGGATCCTCCTGCCTCAGCCTCCTAGAGTGCTAGGATTACAGGCTTAATCCACTGTGCCTGGCTCACTCATATAGTTTACTGTTTGCCCCTTTCCAGACAATAAATTCCAGAAAGGAGTGAGTGACCAGATCTTATACTACTTTTAACTGTTGTTGCCACTGTTTTCACTGTGCCCTCATATACTGAGCATCAAGGCATTGCAAGACAAAGATGAATACAATGTAGATCCTGATCTCAAGGTACTTTGTAGCCTACTAAGAAGATATTTTTGTACACAACTATGTGATGAGTATTATACTGGCATTATGACTATAGTTCTGAGGTGGTATAAAGAAAGAATAGTGTCTAGAGAGAGTTAAAGAAAACATCACAAAGGAGGAGATATTTGAGTGTGTCATTGAAAGATGAGTAGAATTGGGGAGTAGGATAAAAGGAGAGAAGAGAAAGATTTATTTATGTTTTTGAGACAAAATCTCACTTTATCTCTCCTTGTAGAGTGCTGTGGCATCATAGCTCACAGCAACCTCAAACTTTTGGGCTCAAGTGATTCTCTTGCCTCAGCTTCCTGGGTACCTGGGCCTATAGGTACTGCCACATGCCTGGCTGTTTTTGGAGACAGGGTCTTGATCTAGCTCAGGCTGGTCTTGAACTGGTGAGCTCAGGTGATCTGCCTGCCTCGGCCTCCCAGAGTGCTGGGATTACAGGTATGAGCGCCCAGCCTGAGGAAGAATATTTTTTACAAATGAAAGCTAAAATGCAGTGAGTTATATATAAGTTCAACATCTTTTCCACTTTTTCAAGGAAGTGGATTTTTTTTTCGGATTAGTTTGAAATGGAGCTATCTCTGAATTTCACACATTATTTTAATATCAAGCTTTCTTAAAAGCAGACATTTTGATAAAAACTCAGTATGATAGTTTTCAGATGATGGGAATAAAAGGATGGAGAACCCTTATTAAAACACAGATGTCATCTCTAAGTAGAGTTGGAAAAATACTGTCAGTGAGGTCTTTGTATATAAATGTTTCTTTTAACTTATCCATGCAGGATCTGAAAAAGAAAACTACTTCTCTTTCATCAATCACGAGATACATGACAACAGAATCATTGATGTACTGAGAAGAGAGTTGGGTTCCAAATCTCACTCAGAGATCTAGAAGAGGGAAGAGGACAGCCAGTGTTCTGCCTTAGTTTTTCTGATCAAGATTCCTGTGGCTCTGAGTGTTTAGCCTGCCCCTCTCCCCAATCCTCTTGTCCACTCTGAAACATTATTTCTTTGAGTTCTAAGATAAGCAGTGATGTCTGTCCTTTATTAAAAACTATGTTACACTTATGGGGCTATTGTCATTTCAGGTTTTTTGAGGTGAAAGAGTGAAATAGGGCTCAGTGCTTGTAGCTCAGCAGTGAGGGTACCAGCCACATACCACCAGGGCTGGCAGGTTCAAACCTGGCCTGGGCCTGCCAAACAACAATGACAATTACAACAACCAAAAATATAGCCAGGTGTTGTGGTAGGTGCCTGTAGTCTGTAGTCCCAGCCTGTAGTCCCAGCTACTTGGGAGGCTGAGGCAAGAGAATCGCTTAAGCCCCAGAGTTTGAGGTTACTGATAGCTGTGATGTTATGGCACTCTACTGAGGGCCACATACTGAGACTGTCTCAAAAAAAAAAAAAAACCCACAGAGATTATTTGGGTAGAGTTACTACAATATTGGCTCTAAAAGTTTCACTGATTTCTTTCTATATTTAACATGCAATGCTTTTTTTTTAAAAATACAAATACAAATATTTATTTATTTTTGAGACAGAGTCTCCCTCTGTGGCCTTTGGTAGAGTGCCATGGCATTATAGTTCACAGAAACCTCAGACACTTGGACTCAAGAGATCCTCTTGCCTCAGCCTCTCGAGTAGCTGGGACTACAGGCTTGCACCAAAACACTTGGCTAGCTTTATTCTATTTTTAGTAGAGATATGGTCTTGCTCTTGCCTCAGGCAGGTCTTGAACTCCTGAGCTCAAGCAATCTACCTTCCTCGGCCTCCCAGAATGCTAGGATTACAGGTGTGAGCCACCTCACATGGCCCTTGTAGATACATTTTTATGGGACCTGAGGAAGACTTTGAGTATGTGGTTTATTGTCTTACAATGACAGTTTTATAGTTCATTAAATCTTAAGTAAGGTTTATTCATATGTCTTTTTTATGCACACTTCAGGTTCCACAAAAGGGAATTTTTATGTTGGTAACATAAGACTCACCGACATCAGTCATAAGGAAGCAGCTTAAAAACTTCCCTCATTTTTTCCTTGAAGTATTAAAAAAAATGTAATTTCTGGAGATGTTACTAACAATGTTTTTCTGGCCAATACAATATGAATATATTCATCTTCCCCCATAGAAGTGAGACTTTAACGTAATTGGTTGTCTATTTTATCTAAACTGGCACGAACATATCTTGACATGCTCTTCATTTGGAGACTTTGACCTCATGTATAACTGTTGTTCTCTGACCCTCTTTTCTTGGTCTGTTTTATTTTCTAGGTGCGCCACCGAGCTTCTGGTCAGGTGATGGCTCTTAAAATGAACACACTGAGCAGTAACCGGGCAAACATGTTGAAAGAAGTGCAGCTCATGAATCGACTCTCCCATCCTAACATCCTTAGGTAGAATGGCTTTTCCTTCTTTCTGCAGATCAGTGAGAAAGCTAGAATGTTGGAGACTTGCTAGGATAGCACTGACAGCTAAAAAGATAGATTCAAATTTATCATGCTGAATCTATCTTGCTGAGGTTTAGTGGTACTCTAAGTCTTTTTTCTACTAGTTGAGACATAGTTTCCTGGTAATTAACTGCAGTTAATAAAGCAACTTCCTCTTTCTCTCAAATTGCTTTACTCTCATTAGAACATTAGTAGCAGCTCATTAGAACAGTTGTTTCCTATTGCTGTTCAGTATTTATCCTAGAGAAGGCTGGTCTTCATGTTATTTATTTAATAATTTTCCTAATTGCTTCTTCAGGAATCATAATTAAATCAGTGAGTAAAAATAAAAGTGAAATTATGCTCTCAAACTATCTACCCTTAACTTTTAGCACTCAAGGAGACAGAGTTTGCCTTTGATAATTATTTTTTATATAGTAAGATTATATAATTATTGCTTTCTAGTAATTGGTATCAGAATCCATCTCACTGGCTCGGCGCCTGTGGCTCAAGCAGCTAAGGCGCCAGCCACATACACCTAAGGTGGCGGGTTCGAATCCAGCC